TTCTTTAGATTGATATAGACAAAAAGTGGGGGAGAGGATAAATAGGAATTAGAGATAGTTTAGGAGAGAATCTCTCTACTAAATTAGAGATAATTTAAGAGATAAATAGGAGTAAGAGATAGTTTAGGAGATAAATAGGAATTAGAGACAATTTAGGAGGAAGTGGGGGAAGTGGTGCCACTTGGCTAAACATTAGAAAATTAAATTGCTCTTTCTTTATGGTTGTTAGAAATAGTTAAGCATATGTGATTTTCTTATTGGTTTAATGGGTAATTATGTGGAATTAAAAAAATAAAAATTAAAAAAAAACAAAAAATTAGGAAGGGGGGCTTGAAGCAAGGAGAGGTATGGTGATGTGGATAGACAAATTTTAATATATATAGATTTTAAAGTTATTATATAATTTTGTTAGAATACTTACATAATTCTTAAATTTTTTAATCCAAACTTTCTTTAGATAGATATAGATAAAAAGTAGGGGAGAGGATAAATAGGAGTTAGAGATAATTTAGGAGAGAAAATCTCTAGTAAGTTAGAGATAATTTTGGAGATAAATAAGAATTAGAGATAATTTAAAAGATAAATAGGAATTAGAAATAATTTTGGAGAAAGTTGGGAGGTAGTTTAGGAGTAATTTTAGGAGAAAGTGGGAAAGTGAATCACATTGTTTGTTTAAAAAATGACATGGAATAAAAAAATCAAAAAATCAAAAAAGGAGAAAATTTCTTGACCCCTTTGTTTTAATATATGTATATATATATATATATATATATACACACATAATTTAATTATTAATTTTATAATATATTAAATTATTATTAATTTGAGGATTTTTTTAAATTTATTACATAAGTTCGATATTTTAACTATTTAAAATCTAGTTATGATAAATATTTAGTTATTTAAATATTTAAATAATCTATAAAATATTTATTTACTTTTTGTTCTTTTAATTTTATTTGTTTAAATCTATTACATATTATTAAATATTTGAAAAACATTTAAATAGATAATTCGGAAAAAAAACATAATTTAAATTGTTAGTACATAATTTCGTGATATGTTTTGTAAAAATATATAATTATTTTTTGTATTTTTAATAAATATTTTAAAGTTATTATATAATTTTGTTAGAATATTTAAATAATTCTTAAATTTTTTAATCCAAACTTTCTTTAGATAGATATAGATAAAAAGTAGGGGGAGTGGATAAATAGGAATTAGAGATAATTTAGGGGAACCTACTAAATTAAAGATAATTTTGGAGATAAATAAAAAATTCAAAAAAAAGAGAAAATTTCTTGACCGCTTTGTTTTAATGTATATAGATTATTATTTATAATTTATATTAATATGTAAATAATATACATTAATATATGCAGGCTTGGGCCTGGCCTAAATAAAAATGCTAGGCCCAAGCCTACAATTTTTCTGGCCAAGCCGAAGATAAAGCCCTCCCAAATGGACATTCAAATTTTTTTTTTTTTTATGGATGGTTTATAGAGCTATAAATTGGGTTGTGCCGCTCGCGACCCAGCATAACATGACATGACCTATCACTGTAGCATGCGAGCCGTGCCGTTACAACATGAAGGTATGGGCTGTGCTAAGCTTAGGTTTTCAAGCCCATAGGTTGGAATGGCACGACACGGCAATGTGGGCTGTGCTGACATGGGCCCGCTCCCAACACGACATGGCCCACCACAACCCATATATATTATGTATATAGTATATATACAATTATGTAATTATGTGTGTGTAATTATATATGTAATAATAATTATATAATAAATAATATATATTTTTATTTTCAATTTTATTATACCATTTTATTCCAATATACAATTAACTTTTTAATTTCATATATAAACAATTGTGTACATCAAAATTCATATAAAATAAAATTTTAAGATTTTTTTTCATTTTTTATCTATTTTATTAATTTATTTTAAAATTTTTATTTTTTTATTATTTAAAATACACCTGTCATGGCCTGACCCGGCCCACAGCCCAGCTTGGCCCAAGACTCGGCCCGCCCCACTGTCATGGGGGTAGTTCTGCAGCGGAAGAAACCCGTGCGGCGTCCTGGCCAAGGCAGGCCAGGACAAGCCTTTCTGCGCTTAGAGGCTAGGAGTTGCCCAATGGGATGGCTCCACCAACGTCAGTAGCACTGGATCATGACCTCAAGTCCAATGGCCGAGGCACTCTCCTGGCT